CAAAAAAGATGCTAATTTATGCCAGTGAAGATAATCAAATAAGGGTAAGTATGATAAAGTCTATTAAAAAGTATGATAAGTGTGATGAAGTCTATTAAACCATGTTGAATTACAGCATCTGAGGAATCCAAAGTATTTGCTTTGAATTTAGAAGTAGTGGACAATAATTTCCCTGTTGATGCGTGTCATATTTCTCCAATTGTTTTTGTGTCCTATAAGACTTTGGATCAAGGAGGATTAGTCAGTATTCCATGTGGAGTAGGTCAGTGCCTTCCTTAATTCACTCATGAAAAAGTTGAGTAACATAAAGTATTCTTTTCCAGCAGCTGATGCACCTATGACGAGTTGAACCTCATTAGTCCGGCACTCTGTAGTCTGGCAATATCTGTGATCCGGCATGATTTTAGTCCACTTATCATGGATGAGGCCAAGTTTCCCGTGATCCCATAAAATTTGTTTACAGATGCCAGTCCTGGCTCTCAGTGTTCTGTGCTGTTTTTTAGCTCTGATTTACCCCTCAGAGTCTTCTCAGAGCCCAGTGAGCTATAAAAGTGTTGCCAGTGCTGCTAGACAATATTGACTTCCTGTGGTCTGGCAAGTTCTCTGGTTTGCCACCAGTCCTGATAGTGTTGGACTACAGAGGTTCAACCTGTTTTGAAGCATTGACAGCCATTAATATTTTATTTCCTGCATGGGACTACAGGGTCCTGGGCCACCAGACTGTTTTTACCGCAGTCAATTTTAATCTACTTATCTCTGTGAATGTATTAATCAATATTACGGACTGAAAACTTAGATAAAAGAGGAAAATAGGGAACTTGTCACTGAACTGTATAGAACAACATTAATTAGAGGGATATGTGAATTAATGCAACATTCTGGCAGGGAAAATATGGACTGTTCTTCCTTTCTGTAGGGACAATAATCTCAAAGCCAACCATATTTTTTCTACCTTGCTACAGTGGTCAGTTTTAAAAAGTGCTTTTTTACTTGATACAGACTTTCCATATTTTGCAGACAGGAATCTTGAGCTGATGGTTCCCAGTAATCCCCCAATGCTAAAGATAGAGACAATGAAAGACCACAGTAATGTGAGGATCTGCTCATCGACGACAGTGTGGTATCGTTCTTGCCAGGTGTCATTGATGAAGTTCTTGATGTACTAGAAAGAAAAATTGGTGGTGGAGGAGAAGGAGTTTCAATACTAATTTCCCTTGTTACAAGCACGACAAATATGATCAGGGCTTGACAAATGGTGGCGAAAGCTGCTTGCCAGCCCCGCACTGCGCATGTGCAAGACCCACATTGCGCATGCGCGCGCCGCTGGTAAACGGGGCACGCGGCTGAAATCTACTCACCACGGGTGAATAGATTCTATAGTTTGTTGAGCCCTGAATATGATAATATGCTGCACAGATCTTACTGAATTAAATCACAGAACCATAGAACACTAGAACTGGAAGGAACCTTGAGAAATCATAGAATCACAGAACCATAGAATACTAGAACTGGAAGGAACCTTGAGAAATCATAGAATCATAGAACCATAGAATACTAGAACTGGAAGGAACCTTGAGAAATCATAGAATCATAGAACCATAGAATACTAGAACTGGAAGGAACCTTGAGAAATCATAGAATCATAGAACCATAGAATACTAGAACTGGAAGGAACCTTGAGAAATCATAGAATCATAGAACCATAGAATACTAGAACTGGAAGGAACCTTGAGAAATCATAGAATCATAGAACCATAGAATACTAGAACTGGAAGGAACCTTGAGAAATCATAGAATCATAGAACCATAGAATACTAGAACTGGAAGGAACCTTGAGAAATCATAGAATCATAGAACCATAGAATACTAGAACTGGAAGGAACCTTGAGAAATCATAGAATCATAGAACCATAGAATACTAGAACTGGAAGGAACCTTGAGAAATCATAGAATCATAGAACCATAGAATACTAGAACTGGAAGGAACCTTGAGAAATCATAGAATCATAGAACCATAGAATACTAGAACTGGAAGGAACCTTGAGAAATCATAGAATCATAGAACCATAGAATACTAGAACTGGAAGGAACCTTGAGAAATCATAGAATCATAGAACCATAGAATACTAGAACTGGAAGGAACCTTGAGAAATCATAGAATCATAGAACCATAGAATACTAGAACTGGAAGGAACCTTGAGAAATCATAGAATCATAGAACCATAGAATACTAGAACTGGAAGGAACCTTGAGAAATCATAGAATCATAGAACCATAGAATACTAGAACTGGAAGGAACCTTGAGAAATCATAGAATCATAGAACCATAGAATACTAGAACTGGAAGGAACCTTGAGAAATCATCAAGTCCCCTCCTTCACTGAATTAAATTGAAGTGTTTTAGGAGTTCAGTGTATTAGTGCAAATATTTATGTGCTATTGAAAGATTATATGTATGGCTATGGGGCTGAAGGATCATAATCCACTAAGAATAGTGGAGTGTAGTCAGACATGTTCACTCAGGTTGTAATTTCTCCAATGAATTACCTCCATCTGGAGAAAGGCTTGCATATACTGATTCAAATTGGATTTGCCAGGGACCAAATGACAAATAAAGGGTTTTGGGTTAAATAGCCCAAGTTAAAACTGACTTCCTTCTGATCCAAGGGGAGCCCCAATATTTATGGAAAGGTTGGGAAGACTTTGGGTTACAGAGGGCCCCATAAGACTGAACATTCTTGTTTGGAGCAAAAACATTTTGGGATGAATAGGTAGTCGTTGTGTAAGTTTGAAAAACTGTTCAGTTGCCAGAGCCCGTGTTGGAGATGGGGTGATCTTCGGTAAACTTATTAACATGCGGGTAGGTGCTGTTAAGGTCTTCTTTGTAATGCTTTTGCCTCATGAATAAGTGTTCTTGCTTATTAAGAGCTGTGTGGTGACGTGTAAGTGTTGCCAATTACAGTGTTGTTAGCTTCTGAAGACAAAGCTGCAGTGCTGAAGCTGGCCGTGTAGACAGTCTGCCTTGCTGGGGGAGTATCATGGTTTCAGCATGGGGGTGTTGCATCCTGGTCAGGATGGAGGGAGAAAAATACATTTCTGTCTAAGGCAGCTGATGGCTGAAGATCTGGGACTCTAGACTGGATTAAGGATGCTAACTAGCGACTAACTTACGAGTCGAGCAGTTGATGGAATTTCCATCAACTAGTCAACTAGTCAATAGGCACTTCCACATTCCTCCCTTGAAATGCCTCACTGCGGCTCTTCTACATTTCGAAGGAGGAATGCGAAACTCTGCATACAGCCCAGGGCCACCAGGAAGTCCTTCGGAGTCTGGGCTCCATGAGGGCGCTTACCCTTTGAAATGCACAAGAGCCCCCTCGGGTGGGGCGGAGGAGACTCTTAGGGTATGTCTACACTGCCATCCTAGCTCGAACTAGGGTGGCTAATGTAGGCATTCGAACTTGCAAATGAAGCCTGGGATTTAAATATCCCGGGCTTCATTTGCACGTTCCCGGGCGCTGCCTTTTTTAAATACCCCGTAGTTCGAACTACCTGCCTGGGGCGGCACGGACTAGGTAGTTCGAACTAAAGCTCCTAATTCAAACTACCGTTAAACCTCCTTGCAGGAAGAATAACGGTAGTTCGAATTAGGAGCTTTAATTTGAACTATCTAGTCCATGCTGCGTGTAGCCGCAGGCAGGTAGTTCAAAGTACGGGGCATTTAAAAATGGCAGCACCCAGGAACATGCAAATGAAGCCTGGGATTTAAATATCCCGGGCTTCATTTGCAAGTTCGAATGCCTACATTAGCCACCCTAGTTCAAACTAGGGTGGAGTGTAGACATACCCGAATGGATTTCAGAGCACATGCCGTGCTTCCGCTTTGAAATGCCATGCGGAGTCCGGGATCAGCTGGAGCTGATCCTGGGCTCCGCGCGGCATTTCCGCAGAACCCAAGATCAAATGTGGACTCCCCAGCTGACTACCGGTTTCAAGCAGCATTTATCCACAACCCAGGATCAGCTGGGGACTCCCCAGCTGATCCCAGGTTCCGTGGAAATGCCTCATGGAGCCTGGGATCAGCTCCATGCGGTGCTGCCACTTTGAAACGCCGAGATGGCGTTTCAAGGGGGCAGCGCCGTACGGAGTGCGGGATCAGCTGTGCGGCGCTGCCCTTTTGAAACTCTGCCCCTTTGAAGTACCCTCTCCTGCCCCCCCATTTGCTGCCCTTATTTGATAGAGGCAGCAAGGGGGGGAATTGACTAGACAACTCGACTATGTGATAAGTATTTGCTTATCGACTAGTCGACTAGTCCTTAATATCCTTAGACTGGATGCCCATGCTGGAACATGGAGGGGGATTACAGGCCCCATTATCCTTAACTGTGACAATGAAGTCTTTATTGTATCTACAATTTTTATTGTAGAAAAAAAATATAGTGTATGTTCGATCAATTCTTTCCATATTCTGAACTGTCTTCCTTCATTTGAAGCATTATGATGATTTTGGTATAGGAGATGAAGGCTCTTAATTTGCTTTAATAGCTCAGTGCTTTAGTTTGTATATTGTTTCACTCTTTTGCTTCTTTCATTATAAAGGACACTTGTGCCATCAAGGTCCATATGAGACTCCTATAAATATGGATACATGCAATGAAATAGAAGCATTTTAAAGAGCAGCCAGTCCGCATGAGCCTTCATCTTCTAGTAAAAGTTTCTGGTGCTGTTAGTCTCTGGTTCCTTTACAAAAGTCCATGACCCTGAATAAATTCTGCCAAGCGGCCATCCCTTGGGGTTTTACCAACTATTCTTACCCTTCTTTATTGTCAGAATGAGAAAGGAAAGAGTTGAAAGAATTTCAAGGTGTCTTGAAGAACATTCCCAGGCCAGAATCTGACACTAATTAATTGCTGCAGATGCTTTGCTTACCATGGAAGGATAGCTGATCATAGAAATTTGGAAGCCGTATGAGAAAGTTCCCCCA